TTTGTTGTGGAGCGACGCATCGAACGGCGGGCTTGTTTCCTGATAAGTTATTTTTCTGCAAAAAATTTGCTGAACTTTGGAGACATCATTAATATAAATATAATTTTTTGGCCGTTAAATAATAAATGAGTTTAAACAAGCAGCAGACCTACTAAAAAACAACAGTTTGTGCACTATCTGCTGTTGGTATAGATTCGACCAATCCTGTCAAGACACAAGTCGGTGGTGATGTTTTACCGTATTATATGAGTCTCTTTTAGCGTGTTTATATGAACACGATCACAATTTTTTCGTCTTATTATACAAATTAATATTACATGAACCTGTGTTATAGGGGGTCTACTGTATACTGAATATTTGGTTCTATAATAATAATTTATATATTTTAGGCCCGGAAATAGCATTAAAAAGAAAAAAAACTGTAAAATTTGTTAAGATCGACAGTAAAGAAAACAAAGTGTAAAAGTGTTGAATCAGTGACACCGGACTTTGACATCGACACTCATAGAGAATAACAAGAAACGCAAAATTTTGATTAAAGAAACGGAGGATATTTACATCATGATATACGTGAAATTAATTGCTTATTTATTCGAATATGTTTTAAATATTTTACATATTTTCAATTTTAACACAACATATTTAAATTACGTAGTTAAACGGAACTTTCAAAAACATTCTATTCTACTAGCCATTAGTTCGATATTGTTAATACCTGAAGATGTCTATTACATATAGATGAAAACATTCGTAGAAAGAATTTTTCTATTTGCTTATGAACTGGATATGGTTTATTTGGTGAGTCTTATATAATTAAATATCCAGTTTTTTGAAATACAGTAGATTAAAGAAAATTTAAAACTTTAAGATGCAGTTTGGAAAGCAAAACGAAAGTAGAAAAATATTAGAATGAGTGTGGGTGTCATAGTCACCAATTAAACATGATCAGAATCTAAAAGAAGGTGTTGAATAGACCAGTGTTCCTTAACCTTTTTCTACTCGCAGCACACCTATGACTCGACATGACTCAACACGGCACACAAAAATGTTATTCCCCTCAAAAACATATATGATATGATATTATTAATAGAATTTTGTAATGCCATAAACCTATTATTATTATGTTGAGTTTTGTGAGTTACATTAGGTTGACACCGATGGCTGTATACTATGCCAGATCAGATTCAAGGCATAGTAACTTCAAAACAAGACAAAAATTAAATAAGCATGTCAGTGTGTGTCTGTATTCAGGAATTTCCTAACATTATGACATGTATTCTATATAGTGGCCTTATGTAGTGTGATGTATGTGTTTCTATTCAATTTTAATGTTCCCAGGCTTTTGTGTAGCGTTTGTGGTGTGACACCTGTAGAGGAAAGAATGATAAGTACAATAAGCACCCTATCCATTCTCTACAGATACCTTATTTCCTGGGCAAGTTCTGTGTACTTGCTGATTTTTTCACTGTTTTCTACATTGTGAGTGTTTGGAACGGATATGTCTATAATGTATGTGATTTTATTGTGTTTGTCAATGAGTGTTATGTCTGGTCTGTTGTGGTAAATTGTTTTATCTGTGATTATGGCTCTGTCGTAGTACAGTTTGTAAATGTTGTTTTCCAATACTGTCTGTTGAACGTATTTGTAGTATGGTTCGTGGATGTCTAATAATTTGTGTTTCTTTGCAAGCTCTTGATGTATTTGCTACTTGATTATGTCTATGTAAATTATCTGTCTGTGCCAAGTGCTTGAAACCAGAAGTGATGTGCTGCATAGTTTCTGGCATGATGTTACATTTTCTGCATGTGTTATTTGTGAACGTTGTATCTTTGAGTATGTGTTTTCTGTAGTTTTTAGTATTTATCACCTGATCCTGCATGGCAATCATAAACTCTTCTATCTCCCAAAGAGGCATCCCCAAGCTAACCAGCTATTTGACACAGTTTCGTCAACAAAATCCTGGGCTAGATCATAGGGATGTCTGCCATAGAGTGCCTTTTGAACCCACGATTGTTTAATGGTATCTATGCTTTTTATATGTTCTGTTTTGTCCATATGATGCATATGTAAGTTTAATGGTGATTTTATTTGAGTCTGCTGGAGTTATTGCTTCATGTAACTGATGTTTCTTGTTTTTTGTAGAAAAAGTCTCGCAGTGTCTGTATTTGTTTGTAGTGAAGGTTTACTATGTCAATCAGGCCACGTCCACCATCTTTACGTGGAAGGGTTAATCTTTCTATAGCGGACTTAGGATGATGTTGTTTATGCTTAGTAAGTGTTATTCTTGTTTTCATTTGGAATTGCTCAAGATCTGTGTGAGTCCAATGTATAATTCCAAAAGAATAAGTGAGTACTGAGATGACATAGGTGTTTATTGCTTTATCATCATCTTATTTCATCAGTGAATGAAATACAAGCATAAGAAACACAACATCTGGGATAAAAATATATAAATAAAACTTGAAATTAATAGAATATGTAAAAGTTCACGTCACACCTTTCACCTTGTGACAACACACCGGTTGCGGAACACTGGAATACACCATTTCTGGCCGACCTTTCCCGCAACTGATGGGGAGCTCCATTTACACCTGGAGACAGGTGGGAGATCAATTAGAAAGTGCAGAAAAAAAGTCTTTTCTGACCAAATTGTCACTAATTGGACGAACTTATAAAAACTCCGATGTCAAGGACAAGTAGTGGCCTCCTCTAGTCTACCTGTGGTGTTTGTTCACTCTCCGCTCATCTTATGTCTGTTCATCTTTTTGTGCTGTTTCTCCCAATTACAAACATTAAGGTGTCACCACCCTGGGGCCTGTCAGTATTGGACTGGAATGAAAAGAAAGGAACTACTGAAGACAACTCACAGAGCTCTGAAAGCCAGGATCTTGATAATTTTATGTAAGCATATTCATCAAAAATAAACAATTTCTTTGTGAAACATTTGTCTTTTCTGCCTCCTCAAAACCACCACCCACATATGAATAGACCTTAAGCCTTCCCGATGGTAGGGAATAAAAACTTCTCCCAAGTGGCAAACTTACATATATTATAAATTTACAAAAAAGTACAGTCACTTTTTCCATTTATACTATGATAATTTTCAATCATATTTATCAATAAAAATTATATATTCTTATCGTTATTAACCTAGATATTACACAGTGGTATTTTTTTTTATAGTTTTGGTACTTGAATTTAATTCATTCCAGAAGGCTGTTTGAGTACTGAACAATTTTCCCCATAATAAATAATGTAAATTATATTAATCCATTCCAGACTACCCAAAAAAAAAACTTATAAAAGCATTTTAACTACAATTTAACACAAATATTAAAGGAGTTTACAATGCACAAAGGAGTAACATGCATAAACCATAGAAAAATACACATGCAATATAGAGTAACAAAATATGCCTATTAATTTTATTGGGTTGAACAGAAAGTTTTTGTGTATTTTTTTTAAAAGCTGTCCTTATAATTATTAGTGATGTAACGAATATTCGGTTACTATTCAGTATTCGGCCTATTTTTCACTATTCGGCCAAATACCGAATATTTATTCACTATTCGGCCGAATACCAAATACCTAAAAACAGGAGTAAGAAATAACAAAAACATAGTAAATTAATCATTTTGGTATTTAGATTTAATGTTATTGGGTTAGTGTTGTTTGTTTATATTTATTTATAACTTATAACATGCACAAAATAAAATTAAACTTACAAATAAATAAAATATATTACTCACTTGTATTCACAATTTATAATTACAAAGATCAGCACACGTACACACCTATTCATTCGAGAATCATCGCACATCTGAAGGTCTGACCCTGCCTATCCTTCTTTTGCTCTTCCCTTTCTCTTTCCTCTATTGCTCTAGTCTACATATGCCTATGCATACATCATAATATGCCCTCATGATACTTTCAATTTGTCACTTTTCTGTCATAGATTTCCCATTTTACAATTACATGTCTCATAGCCTGGTGATAACGGAGAAAAGAGACAGATAGGATGTCGGTATAAGTCACAGTTATGATTTCACAGATTCGAAACAGCTTGGTAGCCCGAAACGATCCCAGGCTTTTGCCCGTGCACGCTAAGTGACTTTCATTACAAGCATTTAGCTTTCCGAAGTCTATGACAACAATTGTTTGGCATTCACGGCCGCGAATTTCACGCCAATAAGCTGCCTCAACTTGTTCGAGACAGCAATTTCATATTTATTTTCACATTTTCACTTTGCAGTCCTTCTCTGTTCTTCTTCCATTATTTACACATGTAGGTCATTTCATTGTTATCCACATTTGATATCATCACTTATCACATACTGCCATGATGCTCTTGTCTGAACTGTCAAGAATTAATGCAATTGGCGAAGAGTAGTGACAGTGGACCAACAGAGAGCAGGGTCCTTGCCATAATGTGGTTTGCACACCAATTTTCATACATGCGTTAATCAAGCCGAATAGTTTGGCCGAATATTTGGCTATTCGGCCTGAGGCCAAATATACTATTCGTTGCAACACTAATAATCATATCACACATCTATGTTAAATAATAATTGTGAAACTTGACATATTATTGTTAATGTGAGATTGTATTCTTTGTTTAGAAGCTTATTTTGAACTTTTTACTTCAGGTTTTGTATATCTAATGAAATGGTTTCTAGTGTTCCCAGTCCTATGATTGTCAAATAATTGAGGTTTTACTATATACATGAAGCCATGAATATTTGCATACAGAAAATATGAAATAAATGAAAATAATAATAATATACAATTATAAACACTTAATTGAGATTGATTTTTATATTATTATAGGTAGTTCTTATCTTTAAATATATAAATATGTGGTTATATGTGTATAATTCTAATAATGTGTATAATTCAGTAATAAACTTTAGCTTATGCTTTTTATACTAAAGAAAAATTACAGAAACAAAATTATATATGAGAGTATTTCAAAAGTAAAGACAATTTTATTATTACTCACATAATATACAAGTTGATGCAAACTAAACAATTTATTTTTTGACATAATTCCCCATTACTATTACACACTTATTATAGTGATCCAGAAGCTTATGGATTCCAGCAGAGGAAAATTGTTTGGCTGGGCATGTAGCCATTTATGTATCATGTCTTTTACTTGTTCATCACTATCAAATCTGCGATTATGAAGTGCTCTGTTTAGAAGTCCAAACAAGTAGTAGCTGGTGAAAGCAAGGTCTTGGCTCTATAATGAATGGGGAAGAATGTCAAACTTGACCTTTTCAATAATATGTACAGTATATGAAGAAGCACATTGTCGTGAAACAATAAACTTTTCTCTAAAACATGCATCTGCTTCCATACTGTGCCAACATTCTTTAATGCATTTCTGCATGTTTTATGCTCTCCTCTTACAAAATGAGGATTATACTGTGTCCTCCAACATAAACTCAACAATTGGAGTATCCATTTTTCCAAGGCAACAATTGGAATGACAATGAAGTGCTATCATGTTGGATGATGCCTTAGCACACTTGCCTGACATGTATTCATATACATCACATCCAGTTTACCTCTTCCTGTAATAGTGGCACTGGAATTTCTAAATTGCTTTTACTTTGAGTTATCTATAATATATACATTAGTAAATGTTTAGAATATATACATGCAATTTCAATCTTCTCACATTTATTATAAAAATACAATTTTACATACAATATTATATGAAAAAGTTTAATATTTTTATATTAATAGATTTGTTAAATTTAGATTAATTTTTTCTTAAAATGTATTATATAAAATTTATTTTATATATTTTTAAATGAAATCATCCTTTATCTTTTTAGATGAAGTCACTAATAACAATGTAGAAGCTCAAAAGAATATAAATATTCAACAGATTTCCAACTGCAGATAGTGGAAATGAATCAAAAGAAGAGCACACAGTAATATTTACCAAGTTTGTTTTAAATCAGAGGACCAAATTTATGATTTTCCTCTTAAATTCAATTTTCTTATATTTGACTAATATCTTTATGAATTCTGTACAGTATGGGACTGGTAGTTTTTAGTAAGTTTAATGTATTCTCATAAATTAATATTTCATATAGTTTAGCAATTTATTGGAGTCTCATCTGTAAATCATTTTTTATAGAAATTTTACTTCATTGATACATCTCTTTTTTCATTTTCTATGCAAAATATCTTTTAACCTTTGGATAATTCATTTTAAATATTTTATTTAAATTGCACAAATCCACTTGGAAAATATTTATATACATACATGGAATATTAATTTTCATTATTAGACTTTTTCCATTACTTTTTATAATCCTTTTTTAAAAATTATAGCTTTTATTTACTATTTCATAGTGGCAAATTTGTAATTTAAATAAATGTTTGCATATGTAAAAATTCTCATCAACATGGATAGTATTTTTGTAAATTAGAAAAAAAAGGGTGATACTGAAATATGAAACAGTATGTTGGATGAATTATGAAAAAGTGATCAGTAAATTACTGATAAGCAAAATTGTATTTGGAACTGTAATTTTTATTAATTCCAACCTCATTTTATAAAATAATATTTAATGAAAATATAAAATTTTTGACAGATTTTAGCAATTAACATCCTTGTTATAAAACAAATTTCATGATTTTAAAATAATGTATAAAACCATAAAAATTTCAGAATAATGTCTTTCATGTCATATTGCTGGTTTAAATTTTGATTAATATTATCAAAATGTTCAAATTAATTAATGGCTTTTATTGTAATATGGTACTTTATGATAATGATTTTAAAACACTATTAATGTCAAATATACATAATTTGAAACATTTTGGACCAGCCAATTTTTAAAATTTATTAAAATCTCAAGTGAAAATAATTTAACTGATTCAGAAAATGTGGACCAATATTAATCATCTGTAATTTCAAATATACTATTAGGTGCCTAACTTATATGCAAAAACATTAAAGCAGCAGCAAAGTGCATTAAACAATTTTGCATAGGGATTATAAAGTATATTAAAGAAAATGAATGGAATATTAGAATATATGTGTGTATGTATATAATGTTAGTTAAACATTATTTAACTTTAGAAAATATAATTTTTGATAATGATTCATACATTTACATTATAATTTTGATTATTTGTTTGTAAAAATATGTATATTGAATCATTTCAAAATTTATTTAAGAAAATTTCAATTATATTTTTTGTATTATTTTTCACTTATTGTATAATATGTGACAATGCATATACATACACACACACATATATATGCACATCTATATAAAAATATAGATTTGCAGTATTGATTTTTAATGTATCTAGGTGATAATATGAAATAAATTATTAATTCAAATGACCAATATGGATTATTTACTTGTGTAATTTAAGTTTACAATTTTTTATGTTTGAACAATTCTATTGAAAATAATTTTAAATGTTTGATAAATATCATTGAATTCCTTTGTTGTTGGAATCATCAACTACATATATATTAAATAATTCTTGAAAATTCCTGAATCCTGCATCTGCAGATGTATAGGAAGTCTATTGGTAATTCAATGATCCAAAATAAATGTAATTAAATTCTACATTTTGGATCATTGAATTACCAAAGACTTCCTATACATTTGCTATTATACTTCCTTTTTAGAAAGAATGGTTTTATATTACCTGTAATCCCACAGTTAATACTTGAAGACTATTGTGCAACAACAGAGATATTCTTAATTTGAATGAAAAATCTGGTGTATATCAAATCCCATTAAAACATGCACTTTCAGGAGAGGAAACAAGCTACATAGGTGCCACGGATAGAATGCTAGGCTCTCACATCTTAGAACATCAGAAGGACATTAGAAACAATAAACCATCATCAACTGAATTAGCTATAAAACTGCTTGACCAAGATTATCTTCCCCTCTGGCCCAAACCAAATTACTCAAATGGTGCAACAATCGTAAAGAATTGCTTATGTGAATCCCGAAGGGTCTTTCTTTCTCTCTCTAATATGGAGACTCTGGCCGGATCGCCTTTTCTCCAATGTACTCCCCCAATCGTCATCGTCCCCTCCGTTTTATAACAGATCTCTCCTGGGTTTTTCCCATTGCTTCACTGGCAGTTTTCGTATTTAGGATCTAATCAACAAGTTTCGCCCGTTGAGTCAAAGTGACACATGTGATGTGTCACTCCCAACAAGCAACTAAGTCATGGCCTTTTTGTGCTCTATGAGCAGTAAAGGGCCTTAAACCACAAATAAAAAATAAAAAAAAGGGAACTAAGTCCATGGGAAACGGTTTCATCACCGATTTAATCAGCAATTTTTTCAAAAAATTATCTGGATTTGAATAACAAAATATTGTATTAATTTAAAATAATTTTTTCTAAAATCCTTTTTTTTACTAATAAATTTTCTTCTAATTTCAGCTCTCACACTCATATGAGAGAACCTATACATTGCCGCCATAACACCATGCAACATATCAACCCTTGAAATTCCACAATTACTGATAACTTTATTCATGCTATTTAATTTATAATTCAAATTTCTCTTTTATTGCATGTTCATACGGATCATTCAATTGCTTTTGTTTTTATTATATTTGAGGATATAATAACACTAATAATGTTTTTCATACTTTAGAACATCTTTTATTTTAAAATAAATATTCTTATTTACAGATAAAAATTATCTAATGCAAAAGTTTCATATTGCAGCATAATAATTTGTAAAATGTACTGTAAGTTATATTAGTAAAACATAAAGAATAGAAACAATTAAATGTTTTTATAACCATATAATTATTAGTTTACAGCTGGCTTGTTTGAAAAATGGCATTGAATTGAGTTGTTTAAATGAGAAATTTCATTTAAATTACTGTACAGTATATTCAAATTAATAAACTTGTATTATGCTTGAATCAAATCTACAAAAAACAAGATATACAATAAAAAACAAGAGGAAAAACGTTGATTTTTCTACTGGCTAATTAAGTTTGATTTCCTGTGTTTTCATTTTGATTTTATTATCCAATGTGAATTTTCAAGAATTTACATTACAGTAAACACAATAAAAATAAATGTTTGAAACTTATAATTAATTAAATAGCAAGTATCAGTTATTTTCTAAATTTGCACTATCACATATTATAATCACACCTAAACTAAGCCAGATAGAAATAAACAAATGATACCGCCCGATTTCGTTTGTTTATAAAGATTATATTTCTGATTTATTAAGAGGAATAGAAAAAAGTTCATATGATTAAAAAGTTTATCGTATGTAATGTTTTATTAATTTTATTTGTTTAAAGCAATAAATAAAATTAATAAAACATTGTTTACGAATTTCAAAAATTAAATGCAATAATTTTTGGATAGATTGTAAATTATTTTATCGATTTTAACTAATTAAAAATGGTATTAAATTTTAAAATAAAGTTTAAACTAAGCTCACAATTGTTAACTTTTAATGTCAAGTTATATTTTAAATCATAAGTTATTAGAAAACTCTGCTTTAATTGAAATTTTTTAAATTTCAGATAATTTCAATCATTTTTGATTTAAAAAATTTTGTATTCTTTTTAAGACTCCTATAATAAACATACTAACTTTATGCAGTTAGCAACATATAGAAAACAAATAAGTAAGGCTTTCATAACGAACTAATGCAAAAAATAATATTTATGCATATATTGAACTATATTATTGGGATTGCTAAAACTGTCACAGAATAACAATAGAAGCAAATAAGAAAAGTCCTTTAAGATAATAATATCATTATGTGTATTATTACTATTATTTAAATACAGTAGATCCTCCTATAACACGGTAGATACGTTCCGTTTTATATGAATTCCGTGTTTTACGAGTCACTTAAATACATGAGCCAATCACAGCCCGGCACGTGTGCAGTTTACGGACTACGGCTGTTTGAAAGGTTTTCTTCCATAAAATTAATCGATTCTAGACTAATTTGACTCAACGTTTCCAAAACACGTATAATTTTTTGGGAATAACCCATATAAACTATGCTATAAACAAAAAATTGTAGGATTACTTACCGAGTGTGCACCGTTCGACGACGCCATTGCTTAAGCTTGTTTTCGTCGCGGAGCGGCGCATCGAATGGCGGGCGCGTGTTTCCTGATAAGTTATTTTTCTGAGAAAAATTTGCTGAACTTTGGCGACATCGTTAATATAAATATAATTTTTATGGCCGTTAAAGAATAAATGGTTTTTAGTAAGTCCGCTGCTCGTTTAAACTCAACGGTTTGTTGCAATATCCGCTATTCGACCAATCCTGTCGCGACACGAGTCGGCGATGACATTTTACCGAATTAGGCTATGTTACTATGGATGCGAATTCTGACGAAATTTTGTTCTAACGAGTACGTCCGAAATTCTCGTCAAAACAAGGTGGTTACACTGTGCGCGTTTTCTGATAGTCAGTACATTTCTGCCTCACAACAAAATGGACGAACTTGATGAGTTTTATTTTCTTGAAAGTCCGTTGATTAAGTTATTGTTGATAGGTGGTGGGAAAACAGAGCATGTTAACCAGTGGCGTGCCGTGACATTTGATGATAGGGAAGTTGTGTTTCTGTAAGAA